AACCCATCGCCTAGAGGTAAAAGGAGAAAAAGAAAAAAAAAAGAAAAGGCTGGACGAAAGAGAGGATGGAGAAGAAAGAAAAGGGTAAATTAGTAATTAAAGGAAAAAAATTTTACCATGTCATTAATCTTTGAGGGCAAATCAGTAATTAAAAGTAAAAAATTTAGCATGTCATCAATTTTTGCCACATGGAATTTCCACGTAATTTAATAAAAAAAAAAAGAATGAGTGTTTCCATTAATTAATCTGCTACATCAGCCAAAATTTAACGAAGGGACTAAAAAGGGGTTGAATTTGTGAACAGTAAGGACCAAAAAGGAGATTGTCTCGGTACATGGACCAAAAAAGGGCTTTTTCCTATAGTAGATGGACCAAAAAGGGTATTTAACCATTCATTTTTAGTCATTCCATTAAGTTTTAACGTTAAATAATAGAAATTTCAAAATAGATGAACTAAATTAAGGTTATTTTAGCTTATTTTTGGTCCTCTACTTTGAAATTTTTGTCATTTAATATGTTACATATGTAAAACTTAATAGATGAGGAACTAAAAAGGGTCATATTTCAAATTTTAAAGACCAAAAATAAGTTTTTTTAAAGAGATTAAAAAAGAGCTTTTTACCAAAATAGAGAAATCAAGATGAACATTTAACCTTTTATTTTTGATTCAATGGTTCAAAATTTTTTTTATTGCTTTTGAGATATGGTAATATAGTTTTGAAGATTATACTATTTTTGAGCTTGCTCTTACTTGTGATTAGGCTTTTAGGTTTACAGATTCTTAATTTAGTATCAAATTTTTGACATCGTTATTTGGTGTTTGAATAGAACCCCATTTTCCGTGTTCAAATAAATGAATTTCCACACAGGTTATTCTAAATTGGTCATTTTTATTAAGAAGTTCACGTGTAAATGTGAAGTCTCTCATTGAGATGGTACAATGAAAACAAATTGAATACATACGTTGAGATACAATGAATCTAATATGTCAGTCTTTTTTTGCATCTGGCACTTGGGGCCAAGTGGTCTCTGACCACATGATGCATTCCCCCCCACCCCGGGCAGGGTTCTACCCGCCCCATGTACTCTTGTTCAAAAAAAAAAAAAATGTCAGTCTTTTTAGTTAAATATTGTGTCTAAAACATATGTATTAAAAGTGTCATTGTCACACTTTAAAATATTAATGTTGCACTAAATTTACCTTTTTTTTTAACTATTTTTCCAATAAGTAAAAGAAGAGATTGTGAGAAATCAAGAATAATGTTTTTAAAATTTATGTGTTTTTAGGAAACATTTCAGTAATTAAGAATTTAAATTTATATATGAAATTAACAAATTAAAATTTTGAGATAAGTGGAGAAGAGTTTGAAAAGTAAATAGCTGCATTAGTTGTATAGTTTATTATCAAATGTATAAAAAAATTATATA